GGAGATGAGCCAGTCAGGGTGCAGTGTAGCAATGATGAAACATACATCTTTCCTCTAGTTCCTAAATACTTCCTTCCCCTGCCCCACTATCATGATCCCAATTCTACCTTACAAATCTGGCTAGAGCAGAGGATGTACATTGGTACAGAAAGGAACTGGAAACACAGGGAATCCAGGACAGATGATCCCTTCAGGACCAGGGTGAGAGTGGTAGGGTAGAGGGAGGGTGGGGTTGAAAGGGGGGAACCGATTACAAGGATCTACATCTGACCTCCTCCTTGGGGGACGGACAACAGAAAAGTGGGTGAAGGGAGACGTTGGACAGTGTAGGACATGATAAAATAATAATTTATAAATTATCAAGGGTTCATGAGGGAGTTGGGCACGGGAAGGGAGGGGAAAAATGAGCTGATGCCATTTTTGATGTTTTGAGAATGATGAGGGCAATGAATGTACAAATGTGCTTTACACAATTGATGTATGTATGGATTGCGATGAGTTGTATGTGACCGTAATTAAATGTTAAAAAAAAACAACAGTTGTGTGAGCCCCCAATAATGTGATTTAAATAAAAAGGAAAAAAATGTATTTAGGAGTGTATAATATTATATTTCTCACATGTTCCTCATCATTTATAATTTTTGGTACATTATCTTATTTTCTTCATGCATGTTGCATTACATAATTTTTGACTGATTTCCCTGGACCTCCTGAATATTGAGCACTTCTTTAAATTTCTTTCTTTTACTAATTATCCTTTCCTGAAATGGTATGAGCACTTGCTAATATGTAAAGTATGACATTTAAAAGAGTTGAAAGATGATGTGGGCTTTATGTCTGTATTGTTTCTTGTTTCTCCAGAAAGTAGGGAACTTGTGCATGCATCTCTTTATATCCATCTCTGTTTCTATCTATTTTTGTCTCTATCGTCCTATGAATCTATTTTAACTCCCGGTGTTCTCAGACTCTCCTTTGTCTTAAAATTTTCAGGCTTATTCTCACACAAAGTTCTTAGTTCAGAACATAAACTATGAATCAAGATTATTAAATTCACAAACTGCTTTTCTTCCAGAATTTTTTTCATTTCAAAATTTTAAAAGACATTTTAATTTTCATTAAGGATATTTCTGGCTTATAAATGAAATAGAGACATGAAAAATGTACTAAGTGAAAATGTTAGTATTTTTCACAAAATAATTATACTCTACTTTTCTCCCTCTTCACAATCCTATGAGAATTCTCCTGGCCTGATGATCTCAGTCTGAGAATCCCAGAACTCTAATGCATCACTGGGTCACCACCATCAACTGTAGCTAAATAGTTGGCTTGGAGTATCTGTATTTGTACCATATACACTCTTTTATAGGAAGTGTGGCTGGTGGTATGTCTTTAATGTTTATGCAAAGAAGAACATTTAATTGGGGGACTTCTCTGACTCCCAGACCATGAAGTCATCTGAAGCTTTTGAAGATAAGGTAGGTAGAGGAGGTAAACAGGGTTGGTAGAGAGAGGTTGAAGATACGGTAGACTATAATCTAACACACGAAGAGCTCCTTTCTCAGGCTCTCCTACCTCTAGAGAGGCAGGATGTCACAAAGGAAGCAGAAATGACACAGGAATGAAGAGTTGGGACAATTGTATGGAGAAAGGAATACGAAAGCAAGTGAATGTGATTTTTAATGAGTATCCAGATGTGATAGTCAAGATGTGGGAGGGGGGCAAGGTAGTTACCATAATCTTGCAATTACTGCCTCTCTTTTTAAAAATTTTCATTCCTCTTCCTTTGCAGTTTCTCCATATATCAGACCACCTTGGCTCCACTGTAATATTGTCACCATGTAATCTGGTCAAACAATATCAATAAGACATCTAGCCCCACAACGATTTCTGCCCTTTGTGTGCTGCTTCTTCTTCTTCTTCCTCTCCTTCTTCTGTGATATTTCATTCTGCTAACTACAACAATCCTACGTGCTACTCTAGTAATCTAAGGGTTGAGTTCTTCTGCATATCCGAACAATGTTACAAAAATATTTCTGTTGACTTTCTCCCCAGCTTCTTATCTGTGTTACCTATATTTAAAAGGATTCTCAATTACCTGGAAAGCTTTTTATTCAACACTCAAGTGCTTCTAGATTTCTTTTATCCCACATGTTTTCTACAAGTAGCGTATTACCTTACATTCCCACATTTCTCCCTTAAAACATTTTTACCCAATACTAATCAAATGGCTATTTCCAACCGTGCTGTGTGCATGTTGTCATCATTCATCACTTCCATATAATCTTCCTCCTCCTCTACTCTTTTATTGTAGCTGCTCTCTTTATCAGCAACAAAGATGTCTCCGTACTAAATTCAAGTGTTTTTCGTAATTTTTTCTTGTTGAATATCTTTTTGGCATTTGAAAGTTACAGCCACTTATGACTTCTTTGACATTTCTGTCTTCCTTTCATCCTGTTGCAGTACATAGGAGCTCTTTGCTGGCAGGGTACATATGAGAACAGTGGCTACAGTAACATAGTAATGGTGTCAATAAATGAAATCGCCCATTTCACTCCCATCAAGCGTATTCGGACTCATAGTGACTGTATGCCAGAACAGAAGAGTGGACTCACTGCATTTCCAAGGCTGTCAATCTGCAGAGAAATAGCCTGTCATATCTTTCTCTCGTGAAGCAGCCGGTGGTTCCAAACCACTGACCTTTTGATTAGCAGCAATGCCATGGATTTGTTCATCTTTTAGATGTCTTTTATCCTGCATGGCTGCTCTAATAACTTTCCTTGATATCTTGATATGCTAGCCTGTAAGCAAATCTTTCTTTCTCAAGATTTCAAATTTTGAATGACTCCTAAAATTTCATCTCCAATCCTGATCTTTCTTGTCTGTCATGTATTATGACTGCTTTAGTTTGTTTAACTCCTGGTAATTTTTCAAAGCTTATGCAAACTCTGCCTTGTGTGTAAAGCTGCCTCTTAGTTCCTAGCAGACACTGTGCCTTTGTTCCTAACAATCCCCTGGAACTCTTCCTGGGGTGCAATATATTGTGGTTTATTCACTGTGTGGAAATCTATTTAATTTCTAATTAAACTTTAAGTTTCCTGACTTAGAGAAGTGATAGGTAGAAGAGATTAGTGATTGGATGGATTAGTTACTGGGAAGTTTTTTGTGAAGGAAATGGGATTTTGGTTAATTTTGAAAGATGAACATGATGGGAAATGTTCTATGTGACACCACCCAATACAGATCTACTGGCTACTTGAGGCTGTTGAGCCCTTGAAATGTGAGTAGTGCCATGGAAGATTTTAAATTTCTACCATTTACCAAATGTAAGTAGTGACTGCTAGCTAATACATCTAGAGGTTGGCTTATCTATTTTCACTACATACTATGTTTGTAGTATGTGGAATCTGAATCCATATCTGGACTAAAAAATCTTTTTCTAGAGTTAGTTGTTTGTTCCTCACTGGACTATTACTTTCTTATTTGCAAATATGCAGAAACATGAACTAGGTAGTCTCTCGGGGTGTTTGTAGGGTGATAGTTTCATTTAAGATTGCATTCATCATGCAAGACTGAGGTGTGTGCATGTGTGTAAGATAAGCAGAAGTCTTAAAAAAGCCAACCCTGGGATCCAGATTTTTTTCTAATCTTCAGTGTTTCTAGCCCTTTCCTTTTAGTTCCAGGTCTAAGCTTCTATGCATTTCTGCTTTTTTTTTTTTGTCTTCCCAGTCCTTTAACTGTTATTACTACAACCTCCTTCTTCCCTTAGCTCACCTTGCCTTTTGGCAGCATGCACAAGTGTAGTGGAAATAGAAGTCTTTGCCTCATAGGCAGGAAACTACATCTTCCATATGATCACAGTGCATTCCCTATAACAATGGGTTAGAATCAAGAAGGCTCATGTAGTAACCCAGTATTAGGATAGGAAAGGAGTCAGACATTGGAGAGGTTTGAAACACAGTAGAGACAGGAAGGGATAATACCAAGGGTAATGTGGGTTCATGTGCATTGCTTTATCTCCTGCAAGCTGTAGTAGGTTCAGGCTCCTATGGCTGTAGCCAGTGTTTGCAAATATATGAGTTGTGAAGAACCTGAGCAGATCATTCAAATAGACCTTTCTTGCTTTCCCACAACTTTCACACCTTGGCCATGCCTTGCCTGTGACCCATCCTACTAGGTATTTCCATGTACACCTGAGGGAGTCCATAACGATATCCTGTGCCCTCGACCCATAGTCCACTGATGCCTGGATTCTATCATACTTTTGGTTATACCATATTCACCCTGTTCTGTAGACTTCTGGTGAATTTCAAATGTGATTGTGGGTAGTAATGTGAGAATTACTTGAAGAGACATGTATGCCTGAGATGAAGAAGGGTTAAGAGGAGAGACAGTAAGAATGGTTGAAAATACTTCATGAGCAGTTTAATATCAGGATCTGTGAATTCTGGGAACTGAGTCATTGCTGTATATTATTTATTCTTCTTGTGTTTCAATATTTCACTTTCCTTGCCCAACTCAATTCTTGTCACGTCCATCTACCATATTTCCACATTTGTTCCTTTCTCTTCTTTGTAGATGTGAGATCATTTCATTAGGTCATGATGACAAGATTCTCTCATATGGAAGTGACACAACTGCTTTAAGTCATTACAGGTAAAAAACTTTTTTTTTTGGTAATTATAAGTCCCTGAGAGGAAATTGAGGTGAAATAATGCCTGCACAATGTGAACATCTTTGAATAATTAATCTTTATAATTCTAGGGCAACAATGTCATTCTTATATTTGTTTTCTCGTCATCGCTTTAGAGCACTGTGATTGACAAATGAATGGATGAAGCAAATCGCTCTGTGGTGTCAGAGTTTGTGTTCCTGGGACTCACCAACTCCTGGGAGATGCAAGTTGTCCTCTTTGTATTCTCTTCCCTGTTTTACGTGGCAAGCATGATGGGAAACTCGCTCATTATCATTACTGTGACCTCGGACCCTCACTTGCACTCTCCCATGTACTTTCTCTTGGCGAATCTCTCCTTTATTGACCTGGGAGTTTCTTCTGTCATTTCCCCCAAGATGATTTATGACCTTTTCAGAAAACACAGAGTCATCTCCTTTGGAGGCTGTGTCGCTCAGATCTTCTTCCTTCACATCATTGGTGCTGTGGAGATGCTGCTGCTCACAGCCATGGCCTTTGACAGATACGTGGCCATCTGTAAGCCTCTCCACTATTTAACTATTATGAGCCCCAAAGTGTGTACTTTGCTCTTGGGGGCTTCCTGGATACTTGGTTTCATCCACTCTTTGACTCAACTGCTTTTTGTTATAAAGTTGCCATTTTGTGGTCCTAATGAGATAGACAGCTTTTACTGTGACCTACCTCGGTTTATTAAACTTGCATGTATAGACACCTACAAACTAGAGTTCATGGTCACAGCCAACAGTGGGTTTGTGACTCTGGGATCCTTCTTCATACTGGCCATCTCCTACATTTTCATCCTGATTACAGTTCGGAAACACTCCTCAGGTGGCTTATCCAAGGCTCTGTCCACTTTGTCATCTCATGTCATGGTGGTGATTTTGTTCTTTGGTCCTTGCATCTTTGTTTATACCTGGCCTCACTCCACATCACACCTAGACAAATATCTTGCCGTTTTTGATGCAGGTCTCACTCCTTTTCTAAATTCACTCATCTACACACTCAGGAACAAAGAGATGAAGGTGGCAATGAGGAGAGTCTGCAGTCAACTTATTGTTTGCAGAAAGATCTCTTAAATGACAAAAGTATTATGGAATTATCCTCCAATTCTCCTCCTTGGAGAATATTTTAAACAGGACCTTCCACATATATGAAGGGGTTACCAAAAACCAAAAACAAGAAAACCAACAAAAAATGGAAAAAATCTCCACTGGGCAGACTTTCATAGTCTGCATTTTTCCCAGTAGGTGAGCATCCAGAAACTCCCTCTGAGTTAGTGCACCCAGTGGCATCACCTGGGACGGTTCTCTCTGGTCACAGTGAATTTTTTGTAAAAGCAGTTTTGCTTGAACCTCTTTTTTGGGATGGCTGATTTAAGAGAGCAGTGTGCAGCTGTGAAATTTTGTCTCCTGTTTGGGATAAATTCGGTGCCTCAGATATTGTTGTGATGTTGAACAGTGCTCACAAGGACAGTGCTATGGGAAAAAGTCAAGTGTACAAGTGGTTTTCTTGTTTCCAAAAAGGTGAAATGTCAATTTATGACATATCTCATTCTGGACGTTTACCAACCTTCCAAACGGATGAAAATGTCAGCAAAATCAGAGCGCTTATGCTCGAAGACGGATGATGGATCATTGAAGAGCTGGGGGAATTTATGTGGACTATCTTGGAGCTTGGTTCAGCGAATTTTAACAGAAGATTTGGGAATGAGAAAGGTCAATGCAAAATATGTGCCTCAGGTTCTGACTGACCAGGAAAAAGTTCATTGAATTGTACAAATATACCGTGTGCTTTGCAAGAACAGCTCTGATTTGGTCCAAACTTTTTCCTCCCTAGGTCATTATTGGTGAAAAGACATAGTTCTATTCTTATGACCCGAAGGCAAACATCAATCAAGCCAGTTGAAGATGCCATCATCTCCTCATCCCCCAAAAGCTTATCAAGTGAAATCACAGACCAAAATGATGCTTATTTGTTTTTTTGATGTGTGGGGGACAGTGCATTTGGTGTTTGTTCTACCACCTCAGACTGTTCATCAAGCTTTCTAGTTAGTGGTTCTGAAAAGATTGCTCAGCAGTGTGTGACAAAAAAGGCTTGATTTGTGGAAGTCAGGGGACTGGTTTTACCCCCATGACAATGCACCTGCTCATGCAGCCACAATAGTGTGCCAGTTTTTGGCAAAAAACAGCATGCCTCTCTTGTCCTACACACCTTATTCACCTGATCTTGCTCCCTGTGATTTATTTTTTGTTTCCACAAATGAAGAGGGACATGAAAGGGCAGTGATTTGATGACATAGAAGTGGTGAAGGAAAAAATGAGGGCGGTGCTGTCAGCCTTCCAAACAGATGAATTTGAAAAATGTTTCCAAGAATGGAATAGACAATGTATGGATTTGACAAATGTATTACAGAGCTGGCAAATGTATTAAGTGTAATGGAGGGTACTTTGAAGGTTATAAGATTGGTTTGTAAAAAACTTTAATACATAGCTTTGAAAAAAATTCCGTTTTGGGGGGGTGCCCCCTCATATTACTAATATTTAGATATTACAGACCAATAAATCATTTCTTTTTAAAAATGCCAATTGATAAATGTGTTGCTTGCTTACTGTTAAATGAAGCACATAGTGAGCTAAAAAGTATCTCCAGGAGGTCAATTTCATGTCTCTAGAACCATTACTTTGCTGAATTTAGCATGGGTCAGGCGCCATGGCTGAGTCTCTAGTGTCACCGAGTGAGCAAAATAAGGGGTTGTAGATTGTCACAATTATAGGTGTAAATATATAAAGAAGATGCCAGTTTATTGATCTTCCATCACACACAAAAATATATGTCAAGACTAGTCCCTGGAAAAGACTTTCATGTCCGGCAAAGCGGAGGGGCAGCGAAAGGGGAAGGCCCCAGGTGAGACAGATCGACATCGTGGCTGCTTCAATGGGCTCAGGCGTGGGGATCATTGTGAGGTCGGCATGGGACTGTGCCGTGTGTGGTCTGTTGTAAAGAGTTCTCTTCTGGGTCAGATGTGACGTGATGACCCCTGGCACCCAGGAATAGGGTTTCTATGAATTGGATTTGACTCTATGGTAGCTAACACCAACAATGAAAGTCGTTTTTCTTAAAAAAACCAACCCAAACCATATATATATATATATAATGGTTTGTACTTGTACATCATCTTCATTCATACTTTCACTACAGGAAAATCTCAGAGCAGTCAAATGATGACTAGAATATTAATGAGGAGGGGATCAGAACAAGAGGAGGTCACTGGATTATTTAAATATTTAATGATACCAGATTTTGTCAGAGGTGGTTAGAATCAGCCACTCTTGTAAGAATAGTGTTGCCTTGTAACCACAAAATTTACCTTTATTTCTGGTTGGTAATGTTACAGACTATGCCTTGTGTATGTTCATATACACACACAATTAAGATTTTATAGTCTCTACATTTTTTCTCTTGTTTTTTGATAACCATTATGCTCTTATGTCAGAATATTCTAATACAATATAGATTTTTATTCACACATAAAAATTAAATGACTGTCAAAATTGTTTTATGTTGTTCTCTTATAATTGGATGTGTAGATTGTCTTCAGTTTTTTTATTATTCCTTATAAACATTTCATATTTAACTTCTTTTATGGATTGCTATACTTCGAACTAATAGGGCATGATGAGAACAACTAAAAGTTTTTGTTCACAAAAATTCATATCATTGTGAATTAGGGGGGCGTGCAGAGTGGAGACGCAAAGCCCATCTGTAGACAACTGGATACCCCCTTACAAAAGGTTCGCTGGGAGGAGACGAGCCAGTCAGGGTGCAGTGTAGCAATGATGAAACATACAACTTTCCTCTAGTTCCTAAATGCTTCCTCCCCCCGCCCCACTATCACGATCCCAATTCTACCTTACAAATCTGGCTACACCAGAGGATGTACACTGGTGCAGTCAGGAACTGGAAACACAGGAAATCCAGGACAGATAATCCCTTCAGGACCAGTGTGAGAGTGGTGAAACCTGGAGGGTGGAGGGAGGGTGGGGTGGAAAGGGGGAAGCGATTACAAGGACCTACATATAACCTCCTCCCTGGGGGATGGACAGCAGAAAAATGGGTGAAGGGAGATGTCAGACGGTGTAGGATATGACACAATAATAATAATTTATAAATTATCAAGGCAAAAAAAAATTATCAAGGCTTCATCGGGAGGAGCCAGGAAGGGAGAGAAAAAAAATGAAGAGCTGATACCAAGGGCTCAAGTGGAAAGCAAATGTTTTGAGAGTGATGAGGACAACAAATGTATGAATGTGCTTGACACAATGGATATATGTATGGATTGTGATAAGAGTTGTAAGAGCTCCCAATAAAATGATTTTAAAATTTAAAAAAAAGGAAAAAGAATAAAAAAAGTTTCTGTTCACATTATGAGTTCTTCCAAAATAGTTTTGCTTGCTGTGGATAAGTATGTTCATTGTACCACTTCAAAAGACCCGAATATAATCATTTATTAAACTTTTTTTGGAGTAATTTTTGTAAGGCGAATATCTTGTTTTGAATTTCTTTATATTAGATAGGGGTGGGTCTGGTTTATACCTTTTCAAATATTCTCATTAACCATAATTCTTTGCATTAATGTCAGAAATCTAATTCAAACAAACATAAAATAGTAAAATGAAAAGTGAACTTTTGTTATTGGAATGTCCAATATTGGAGCCATGCTGATGGACTTCAACTTCACATTTTTGAATTTTGATCTCTGACTGTGGCCCGTTCTCTCGTTATTGTTTTCTCTTTCTTCTCTATAACATTGCAGCTCTGCTTAGCCACACATATTGGCCTTCTTTTTAATTTTGTTCATGGATTTCTTCATATATGCTGTGGGGAGAAAGACTACCCACCACAGCAATTTAGTAAATATGCTTCACAGGTTTCCAAGATGGTAAATCTTTATGGGAAATAACACTCTTATCTTTCTGCTGCACAATGGCTGGTGATTTTGAACCACAGGTGTTGCAGTTAGCAACCCAATGTCCAAGTCACTGTGCCACCAGACTCCTTGATGGGAGAGAACATCATGCAAATGCATCCGAGTTTCAATCACCTCTGCACAGCAACATCACAGCAAAGGGAGAGAATGTCTCAGAATCCGTAGTAAAACAGTTAACGAGTCTTAATTGACATTGCTTTTTCTCCATGCTAGATCTTTCTGAGGGCCAAGTTGGGATCACATACCCACTTCTGAGGGTATGGGTCAGGGTTCTTTGATAATCTCCAGAGAACTACATCGATTTGAGGGAAAGTATTTCCCAAATGAAGATGATAGGCAGCTATGATGTATTATCTGATAGGCAAGGTAAGCTCATGCTTAGGGTACTGCTTGTCCAAAGCAGAGATCTCAAGATGCTAAGCTGATAGAACACAAGGAAACGCAATGGCCACAGCGGAAGTGTCGTGGTTAGGGCAATCAATGAAATTGTCACCAGCTCCAGTGCGTGAGAATGAGGCCTGCTGGACAAAAAGTTGACTATAGGTCATGAGGGTGTCCATGCACGAGGCTTTGGAAGCTATGAAACTTCTATCACTTCAACACCTTTGTTAACATCAGTCTCCTATAATCTTTGCCTGTAACTGAAATGCTTTTTCAGAAAGTGTCTTGTGAATATACAATTTCTTTCTAATAAAAAGATGTAGAAATGGACTTCTGAAACTAATTCTTTTATGTTCACTCAGTATGCAACTAGACACAATATGAGTGGTTACTTAGCAATGATGGATTATATAACACATCTCTGACTTATTTTGAGTGACCTGTCTTTTACATCTGCTGACCCAGCAACTCCTTCCAGGAGGGCCAGCAATCCTCTTTGTCACAGTACAGACACAATGGTGTAGTCTTGTCACGTATTGATAAACAGCCAATGGGATCTCCAGTCCATGACAAAAGTAAGGAAACAGGAATAAATCTACTATTGTAATGATAACAGTCAATTTACTTTTTTGCTCTACAGCATTTACTTACAGAAGTATGTCCTAAGTTTTGGAAACAATATTTAGAAATACAAGTTTAAAATATGTT